AATCCTAAACTCTAAATCCTAGATCGTACATCTAAACCCAGAGCTGTAAGGATTTTGTACAACCTCTAAAAGCCGTATAACATCCCTGTTATCTAGATCGTTAGCCTGCTTCCAAAGTCGACCTGACTCTCCACACAGGGTTCCGGGATGTGGGCTTCCAGGGTTCCATAGCAATAGCAAGAGTAATAAGAACAACACTTGTGTTGGCAGGGTGAGTTTAGGATTTAGGATATAGGGTTGTAACCTTCAATGTATAAGCTTGGGCACTTGGTCTTGACTGGGTGAGGGCAGACCTGATAAGCCACTTGCATGTGCATTGAGAGAAGTAACATGTGGACTTGTGAAGGTTGGGAGACTGTTTTTTTTGGTGTCGTTTCTCAAAGGTGTCTGTATGAAGTTTCCATAACAAACCGCACCCCCCCAACATGACCTGAACCCTAGGCCCTACGCCCTAAACGCTACATGGGGACCCCCCCTCCCCCTCGCACATTTCGTTGTGGGGAGACATCTAGGCCTTGGCGTTCCAAAGTTCTCTCTCCTGTTCTGTATCAAGCGAAAACTATGAATAACATTCTTGCTATTGTTTTTCATTGTTGACAAGATTATCACCACTGTTCGTATTTTTATAGTCAGTGGTAACCTGGTTATGATTGGTATTATGATGTGAGGAACTATTGAGCTTTCTTCCTGCTCTCATGCTTGCTAGGCCCCATATCCTAGATCCCAAATCTTGGGTACTGCCCCTGCTCATTAACAGCTGGATCATGTGTATAATATGATTATATAGAGCTCTTAATATGACCCCTATTATACACTGCTAATGGGTGGGGGCAGGACCTAACCTAAATCTCATGCCCTAAGCCTTTTTGCCACAAGGCGTTGCGTGCGTCTGCAGATCCTGAAGTAGGGCGTTTGTTATTGTCTTTGTTGAGCGTACATAGGGTTCCTTAGTAATATTGGTGAGCGTTTATATTTAGTGTCCAATGTGGGGGTACCCTAAGCAAAAGCCATCGGTCAGGTGAACAATGAGGCTGCACTCGTTGACTTCGCCGAGCAGTATCTTGTTGAGTCCGGAAGGACAGGGTTTCGGGTTTAGGACTGGGCTTTCAGGTAATTTCAGGGTTCTTATGCTTGAGTTTTGTTGTGGCCTAAGCAGCAAAGTAAAGTCATATGGTTTTGAAGTGGGAATTTGATGGCACGCCCAGGGATATCAGGTGGGGTACAGAAGGCGGACTACAGAGGCCTGAGTTGCTTTGGCTTGCTTGTGCAGCGGTTTCCTGCTAAAATTTTGTAGCAACCTCAAAGCAAAACCTTAAGCCCTAAACCGTCTCCCTGGGTTCCGAAGGGATGTATGACAGGTTTTTGTTGCGTCTCTTTCGTGGACTCCCCACCCACCCTGCAGTAGTGGTACCAAAAGGAATATGGGGGGTTCTCAAAATTAGGATGTGGCAGCGAAACGATGAGCGATATTTACGCAATTTGGTTTGTGGCGAATACGCGAGAATTCGAAAATTCTTGGATTTTGAATATATGCTTGTGGGCCCGGTTCCGAAAATTCAAAAATTTCGAAAATTTTAAAAAAATGCGAAAATTTGCAGATTTTTGCGAAACTTTGCAGGATTTTGTGGTGAAATTTTATAGATTTTTTTTTCGAAAATTTCATTTTTTTTTGCGCCAAAATTTGCAGATTTTTGCGACAATCTACAATTTTTTTTGCGTGCAGCATTTAGTTGACTTAGCGCCTGCTAGATCCTGGCCAGCAGTTTTTGAAGAGCTGCTCACATCCCCGCGCCAGGTAAGGACCGTTTGTGTTTTGAACTGAAGGAGTGCTGCCGCTCAAGCATCCTGACCGCACAGCTCATGGATGAGTTGCTTCAAGAAGCGGCTTCTGTGAGTCCCGGCTGCAAAGAGTTTCGGAGGTCCCTGTGCAGGGTCGAAAGCTGGTCATCTTGCAGTTCGGGATGTGACATAGCGGTTGGGAAATTCACGTTTTTGTCACCAGGGAGAACTTCTGGACAGAAAGATGGACTGGGAGGTTATGAAATGTTTGTGTCAGGTTTTGTGATGGCTTCGCCCGCGATGTGATCCAGTCCGCGACTTGGCTCAAACTTATACGCCGCGCAATCGTGGCAGCCGCAGGTTACTGAGCTTCTGCTCAAATGCGGGAGGCTAGCGGATTGCCCTCGCAGACTCAGGTATTGGAGCATGGGCTGGACAGGCACAAGGACTGTCTTGAGCAGCTTTATCACGTGGAGGCTGCTGTCGAGTCAAAAGCAGCTCCTGAGGAACCCCGCCCAAAAGCCTAAAAGATAAATCCCATTAAGCGTTCAATGTTTTGAGAAACTCACCTTTAGGAACTTGCATCCCTTTGTGGTTCCCAGAGCTTTAGGGCTTAGGATATGCGTCTTTAAGGTTTAGGGTCTGGGGTTCAAGGTTTAGGGTTTTAGATGTAAGGTTTACGGTTTAACTATGGCATTCCCGAATATACTGTAATCTAGGAACCTACATGAATACCAGCATCAAGTTGAGGTCCATGTGAAATACCCTGTGCCATGCTTACTCTAGAATTATCGTATTAGTGTAAATCAATGCCTAATCACTTCAATCTATTCCACGGCAAGCATGCGAGCATCTATTGTGTTAGCCATTACTTCATTATGGTCACGGATTGCTGCTTGATCCCAACGCGGTTCGCATCAGTATGATGGATGATGATGGCCGTCGCTATAGTAGCTGTAGTAGGTTTGTCGTCGCATCTCTTTGTTGCAAAGGTGCTCCCCGAGTTTGCTTCTGCGCAGGTGGGAAGTGGGGCTGAGACCTCTATCTTTCAAACATGATCCATAATGCTGAACTCTTGATGAATAATCAATATTGAGGCATTTGTCTAAGCGAGGATGAAGGTGCATGTGCTGTGTTACATCATAGAAGGTAGACGTGCTGGTGATATAAATCTACACAGTCTTTTGTAGGTATGCATGCGGTGTATAAAATTGGATGGAAGCATGCACGCGCAAGTCAGGTAGATATCCGTCACGTTGGCATGCTCCTTTCAAGCAGTAGAGATTGGATCTGCGTTGCAGGTTGCTGCAGATGCCTCCTTCCAAGTTGTGGGCCATCACGTGGATTTCTTCCGCAGCAGTTCCCACAAGGGCTTGCTTTTCAAGCCCTTGACCAGACAAGTGGAAGGGTTCTACCGATCCCTTCCTGATGCCTTGCTTGGATTCACATGCATATGATGTGGCAGCGAAGCGCTATGCAATTTGGCCTGTGGCGAATACGTGAAAACTCGAAAATTTTTGGATTTTTGAATATAGGCTTGTGGGCCCGGAGCGAAAATTCGAAAATTGCGAAAATCAAGAAAATCTTGCGAAAACTTACAGATTTTTGCGAAAATTTGCAGATTTTTGCGAAAATTTGCAGGATTTTGTGACTCTACAGATATTTGCGAAACTTCCAATTTTCCGAAAATTTACGGATTTTTCGCGAAAATTTGCAGATTTTCGCGAAAATTTGCAGATTTTCGCGAAAATTTGCAGATGTATGCGAAGATTTAAAAACTTTTGCGAAAATCTGCAAATTACGAAAATTTTACGTGCAGCATTTAGTTGATTGAGAACCTTGGGGTATTATTTCAGTGTGTAGGGCTTAGGGCTTAGGGATGAGGGTGTAGGGCTTATCAAAGGACTTTAACATATTCACCAATATTCCTTGTTATCAACATTTCTAGATGGGGTGTCCACCTAATTTGCGTGTTACACATTGGCCTAGCAGCTTCATCAGGGCCAAGTGGTGGTTCGCTTGATGGGCAACGGTGTCTGCACCGCGCGGCATGTACAAAACCAAGGCACTGTGCAGTACGTTTCTAAGAACGATAAGGCCCGCTAATGCTCTCACCTTCAGGCAACTCACGACCTGGTTGCAAGGTACCCTTCGATATTGAAAGCGGACACATCAAGCAACGAGGATTTTGCTGCTTTGGAGGGGTGGTTAGCTGTTCGGGGCGGTTGGGTCTGTTGGACGCCCCATATTCCACCATCATTGGAGGTTTGTGGTATACGGTTTTGGACTATGCATTTCATTCGTTTATCGTTTCTTGCTGATTGCATAGCTTTGTGTTGCCACTGCCATGTCTAAATTCAACACCACGCTTGACTCTCAGTGCGAACCTGCAAAAGTCCTACGCCCCAAATCCGAAGTCCCAAGCCCTAGCCCCTAAACCCTAAACCCAAAGTCCCAAACCGCCAATTGGACAGAACATCGTTGCGGACCTTCGTGCAGAACGAGATGCCAACAGGGATCGAGCAGCTGACGCGGAAGATGAACATGATGAGGAGACCGGGATGCAGTTGGGCTGCTACATGGGGCTGCACAGCCCGAAGCGGAATATGCACAGTGCATGTCAGCCAGAGGAAGAGGGTGAAGTAAGGCTCATGCAGAAGATCCCAGCCATGGACCCGTTCGGGATTAAGAAGAACGTAATGTACCTCAAGCGCAGGGCTGAGCTGTTCATACAGGCAGGATCATGGATTGTCTCCTATGCGGATGCTTTGGAGGACGATGGATGCAGCAGCCATCATCCTGTCGACCTGGTCAAGGAACAGGACCTTGTTGAACTGGGCCACGGGTTGAGGTGGAAGACAGTTTGGATGCCAGTGGACAAGGCGCCCGGAGCTCTGGGACGTTCCATGGTGCAGCAGGCAGCAGGCCAAGCTGGTGACGATGGAGGCCAACCTGGTGTCGAAGGAGGAAGAGGTGGAGGGGTGACGGACGCAAGCGGCACGAGGAGGATGATGACGGAGCAAGAGCACCGTCAGCGTGACACCAGGAAAAGGAAGACCCGTATCGGCAACGCAGAGCGGATGAGGCCAGTGGGCAAAGCCCTGTGACAGGTGCTTATCAAGATTGGGAAAGGTAGGAGATGAATCGAGGACCCGATGCAGAGCCAGTGGTGAATCGTGCCGGATTCGCATCACGGTCACGGGACAGCATGGGCAGGGAGTTCAAGATGAACGTTTCAACGTCGATATCAATCCCGGACAAAGGCTTGCATACCAGCTCTTCATAACTCCCGAAAAGCAGGATGAGAGGATCAGGGAGTTCCCCAGCGAGGCCTTGACGGAGCTGATCGCAAAGGTGGAGGAAGATGTGGAGAGAACTGCTGAGAGGCATTCGGGAACGAAGCTCACCGGGATTGACCACCAAAGTGCAGGAGCAAATGCGGTGCAGGATTGTGGAGCGCTGGGGTGAGAAGGTGCTGGAGCAGTTCGAGCATATCCAGCGAGAGCAACAGGAGGAGCTTTTGAGTGCAGCAGGGTTAGCGGAAGCGGAGTACCAGAGCCAGAGGGAGAGCCAATGGAGTTGTCAAGACCTTATGGCAGACACTGTGCCCTACACGGCCACTGGGATTGCAAGTGGAGCTGGACCTGAGGGCATCGTGCCGGAGGAGGTGGTTTTCGCTGGCAGCGTGCATACTGAGGAAGATGCGGAAGGGTTGAGTGACAGCAGGCAGGTGGTTGAAGAACGTGAGCAGGGTCATGAGGGCAAAGGTGCTGTCGAGTCTGCGGCAGGGTACGCGGGTGTTGAGAAACGTGATGATGGCGGCGCAGAGGCTGGGGCGGTGGCTGCCTTGTCATTGGTTATTGAGCTGCCCATCACGACTTCTTCTGAGGGGGTTAGAATACGTAGCCGGGGTCCCTGCATAGTTGGCTGGTATCCAAGTCTTCCTGATGCAGTATGTGAATGAAATCTATGGGCGTGGCTTTTCCCCTGGGCCAGGACTCCTCGTGCCTGATCCTCCGGTTTTTTCATTTGTACGGCTACAGAAAGGTGAGCTGCTGAGGTGCTCAAGTGCCATGGTGGAAGCTTTGGCCCGTGCTAGAACTGCGCAAAGAGTGTTTGAGTCCCTGGCCTGGCCAGATGGCTTGCTGATTGGATCTGCAGTCGGAAAAGAAGGCATGATAAAAAACCTTCAACCCGAAGGCCGTGTGACATTGTAATTCTCACGTTCCCGAGGTTACTTCTGGGATCTTGGTGCCCTGCCTGTCTAAAAGGGCTAGAGGGGTTATAGTGCATCGTAT